ATTATACGAACGGGTGGTATTCGTACGAGCATATATATATACTTAAAAGGATTGGACAATGGAAACGTATCCAAACATTCAACACACTCGTGTCATATTTTTTCGAGGGATGTGCTTGTTTTTCTATACTAATCCGAAATTGTAACTATCATCCTCGGACTTTTTACTTTCTTTTTCTTTTTTTTTGACATCCATAAACATTATTCTTCTTCTATATTTCTCTTTAACATACATCTTATTATACAATGGAATATCTACTCGAGATTTATCGTAAGCACAAGAGAGGATAGGGATGCTGGTGAATTTTCAAAATACCCTTCTTTCTCTCCCTGTCTCTTTCTTTCTCTTCTTTTTTTGTTTTCTCTTCCACATATATCATACAATGGAAAATCAACTAAAGATTCATCGTAAGCACACGAGGATAAGGATGCTGGTAAATTTCAACAAGTTATAACAAAATGGTATAGTTATTAACATAAATCATTTTCTATTTCGCCCAAACATACCTGAAAATCATAAAATCATAAATTTTTCTTAAAATTCTAAACAAAAATAAAAAAACCCTTCTCCAATTTATCTCTTTCTCTATGTCTTCCAGAAATACGAAACAATGGAATAACAAAAAAGAAAAATCCATTAAAAATCAAGGATACGGTTGTTGGTGAATTGGAACACGTTGCAACCATGTGTTCCATAGGTCCACTTTTTCCAAACTTATTTTCTCTATTTTCTATCTCTCTCTTTCTCTCAAAGACACGTAAAAATTAATACAAGCACAAACTGGTCTCGACATTTCCATAAGATTTTCTTTTTGTTTTTCTTCCATATGAATCGTACAATGGAATAATATTAATTCAGAGAATCCAGAATCCGATCGTAACCAATAGGACAAGGATTGTCGGTGAATTTTTCAAATGTGTGTGTGTGTGTGTTATGACCATGTGTGGTTAGTTTATATGGATACTAACAGAGATACCGCTCGTTTTCTCTATTTTCTATTTATTTCAAAACACACGTGGGAATTATAGGAGCGTATTATATCGTTCGGTGGACACCGGCATGGGTGGCAATGGGTCGGTCGATGCTTTTTCCGAAGGGTGAACGAAAGAACCATAGAACGATGGGATGAGAAAGAGGTGGAGATTGAGTTGGAGGTGGAGGTGTAGGTGTAGCTGGAGGTTAAGGTGGAAGAGAGGGAGGGATAGGGATAGGGAATGGTGGGGGCGTGAGCGAGAGTGGAGTGGGGTAGGGTGGGAGGGGGGTGAATAGGGTACAATGGACTTCCTAGGGTGCGTTCGCACCTCGAACCAAAACGTTTCTGGTCGATTCCACACCTCTTTCTCTCTCTCTCTCTCTCTCTCTCTCTCTCTCTCTCTCTCTCTCATACCATGGAATTCCCTTAACGTCCTTTAACGCCCGAAGGCACCTACGTCGTCGTTCAGCGAGAATATACGTGCCATAGATTCCTACTACAACACATGGGACCAATACTACTCGGTTTTGTACTTGAACAAAAAAGTAAAGTTCCTCCTATAACTTTTCTCTCTTCCTCTTTCTCTCTTTTTTTTCTCTTTCTCTATCTACACGGCATTCCGTTGGACAGATTTTGAAATTCGGTGAAAAAGTGGAAATAAAAAAAGAAAAAGAAAAAAGAAAGGGGAGGATGGCGGAGTGCAATGAGGGACGAGGAGCAAGGTTGCGTGGAAAAAAAAAAAAGAGATTGGGGAAATATCGAATTCGATGCGGTATCCAATCGTAAAAAAAAAAAAAAAAAAAAAAAAAAAGATAAAACGCTTTTGCCCGACTATTTGAAAACACCTTTATCTATTTTTCTTCGTGATCTATCCGAGAGTTTATCTTCTAGCGAGAATTACGAGGGAAGAAAGAAACAGGGGTGGAGGGAGGGAGGGAGGGAGAAGGGGTGGTGGTGGGAAAAAAGAAATATTACGGATGATGGAATAGCTAAGGAAGAATGTGGTTGAAATGAATATATATTTTGCGATCTATTCGCGAGATAAATAAATATAGACGGGGGGGATGGATGGAAGAGAAGGGGGAAGGTGGAAGGGTGCAATATACATAATCCATTTCAGTGTATTGCATCGTTGGAGAAAAAAAATGATCGCTTGAAAATAAAATATAAGTTTATCAAATGCTTTTTATAGAGTATATCTCTACTCTAGTATAGATATCTCTCTTCGAGAGAGAGAGAGAGAGAGAGAGAGAGAGAGAGAGAGAGAGAGAGAGGGAGAGAGAGAGAGAGAATAATTTTTGTAATAATATAATAAGAGGATAAAATAAAAAGGATGGAACGGAAAGATGGAATTAAAATCATAGATGAATTTTCCCTCGCAGCGATATTTTATAATCGATCATTCGAGATCATTCGATCTCGATCACGCGAATAAAAAGAAAAAATAAAGCAGACAGGGAAGTAATAGTAGTAGTAGTAGTAGTAGTAGTAGTAGTAGTAGTAGTAGTAAAAAAGATCGATGGGAGAAACTTGGCGTTTCTGACTTATCCGTGTTGTCGAGAATTCGATCACGAGAAAGACAGACAGACAGACAGACAAACAGACCACCGTGCTCGAAACGACATCGGCAAATGCATGCGGTTGCAACCAGCTACGGCATTTGTCATGGAGATCGTACTTATTAGCATCTTTAAGAGAGACGGACAACAAGAGGAGAAAGATACTTGCAGGACGACCTCCCATCTCTATAGCAAATTCTGTTTTTTTTTTTTTTTTCTTTTCTTTTCTTTCTCTCTCTCTTTCTCTCGCTTTTTTTAACGCACGTTGTGTGTAGTTCGTAAAGAGATCGGATTATTTCCGAAAGGGCAGATCTTGGTCCCCTCCCCCTTCATTACCGATACGTCACGTTTGAAATCTTTAATAACGTATTCACGCGACGCACATTATTCGTTTCTACTACTGTCAAAAACACGTTGCTGCATTTCGAATTGAAACTCATAATGAAATAACACACGAGACAGAAACAGAAACGGAGAAGGAGAAAGAAAATGCGTACGACGTATAAAGAAAATTACATCTCGAAAAAGTATTTCTCAATATTCTTAAAGTAATAGAGAAAAAATCAATCATTTTTTGAATGAATGTTAAGAAAGAATATAGGATAAAAATAAAAATGTACATAATAACAAGATAAATCTCGATCTTATTCATTTCGTGTAATAAAATGAACAGAAAGGAAAATTTTAAACGAAAAAAATATAGTATAACAAAATAAATAGTCTTTTTTTTTTTTTAGATCTTTCTCGAGGTTCGGTACTATCGATCGGCTTTCCTTTCCAGCGTGTTACGTTTGAAAAGGCAAGCCAAGGCAAGGCAAGGAAGAAAGAAAGAACTTAAAGTCGGCTTTCCAGAAGAACAGATCCGCAGTACGGGAGTGTGTACCATCGGTTCATCTCACTCTTTCTTTCTCCATGCTTAGTTCTCTTCGAGATACGAACGGACACGGGTGGTCCTGAGGTTTCCATCTAGTATATGTGCTTACATATGTGTACGTGTACGTGTGTATATGAGAAGGTCGCGCAAACGCACAAACGTAACACGCCTACGCCTACGCGACCCGAGACTGAACGAACCTCACGTCGTATGCACGCACGCACGCATGCACGCATGCATCTTTACACGAGCATCTTCTTTACATATCCTACAAGCCACAGTTGAGTTGACCCTTTCCTTCTTCATCTTCATCTTCATCTTCATCATCATCTTTATTTTCTTTTCGTGGTCGTTGTCGTTTGTTCTTCCATCCTGATCCACCGATCATTACGTTCATCATAATATATTGACGTTAAACCCTCCGACACCTTCGTAATCAAGTAACACTATCATCGAATGAAAGATCTTCGATTGATCACAAAGAAAATGAACTCGTCATCTTCCATCGTTATCTCTAATTACCGTAAGAATATCTTCTAACATTCTTACGAGAATCGCGTTACTTTATAATTTAATACGGTAATTGGATCGGGAAGAGAAAAATAAAGGAATGAGAAGAAGAAGAAGAAGAAGAAGGAGGAGTAGAGAACGATTGGGTAATACGTTTTAAAAAGGGTGACTCCTAGTGGAAGTATCGAATAATCGATAAGAGTATCTACTTCAACGGGATACCTATCCATTGTCCTTGTTATCCAATGTCGAAACACATGCTCCCATTTCTTTCCGTTACTTTTCTACACGGTAATAAAAAGAGAAAGAGAAATTCGTTCGCGAACACCGAAATCGGCTTCTTTGAAGATCCTTCCAATATTTTTTACCTTCGTCATTCTGACTTTGAGATCTTCCATACGTGCATGAAAATCATGACACCGGTTAACGATCTTACGATTTATTTTATTAACATTAACTCTCTCTCTCTCTCTCTCTCTCTCTTACTCTCTTGTAAAAGTGGATCGTACGAAGACAGATAAAAGGAAGAGAACACAACATCAACTAATCGTTTTGTCGTTTCATTCAATCCAAACGCGTTCAATTTCAAAAATAGATAATTAATTCGCTTATATCTCTTTATATAAAATGAATTCTCGATCGGTCTCATCGTAAATCGTTTAACTCGAAGTTTCAAATTGCTAAGTAATTACTGCACGTGACATATGCACTACTCTCTTTCACTTTCATCCCTTCGTAACGGCCCGACGACCGCCCTGTTGTTCTTTCTTAAAAAGAAAAAAAAATATGTCAGATATCCAGACCGAAAGAGAGAAAGGGTCCAGACACTAATCTCTCCCATAGGAGAATAAAATGTAAGCAAAAAACGTTTATCTCCCTAGACCAGAAGACTCCTCGTACGATCAAATAAAACTTATGGGAGGAGGGGGGGGGTGGTATTATAATATTAAGATATGATTTAATGCACATCCAAATCATGCCCTATCCGTCATTTTAATCATTTGATTTAAGAATAATAACCATATTATATATTCTGCGATTTCGAATTGACTTCATTTTTTGTCTTTTTCTTTTTTTTTTTCAGAAGCGACCTAATTGCCAATTAATCGAGAAGCATCGATGATCTCGAGCGTGACGAACCACCGGTTTTGGTTGAAGGGGAAACGAGAGAAGACAATTTGAAGATGAGGAAGATTAAGACAGAAAGAAAAAGAGAAAGAGAAAGAAATAAACAAAAAGAGACTAAAGACGATTGGATTTCGCATTCGATCTTCGAAGGTGCGTCGATTATTAATGACCGATAGTTGGTGGTATGCCGGTCCACGATCTTATCGGTAAACCGTAAACGGCACCTACGACGCCAGGGCCGTCGCAAGTTTCTCTTCTATCTCGTCGTATCACCGGGTCACTAGTCGATTCCTCTGGGTAACACGCATCGTTGAAATCGGCCGATCGAATCGGACATAAATTCCCTTTGACTCGTTTCTCTCACTTCTATATATATATATTTTGTGTTATATTCTTTTTTTATTTTTCTTTTTACCTTTCTCAACCTTTTTCTTACCTTTTAACGAGTACTACGTACGAGAAGTGTGCTTATATAACACGAGTAAATTTATAACACTGGTGTTTCAAAATACGTACGTTGGTATAATTTCAGGGCTGGTTAAAATAATTAACAAAGTTCGTATTATTGTATGACCGTTGTATATAAATATACGAACAGTTGGTAGTGTAAGAGAATATTTGGAAAGAAGAATAGAAAAATACACATATTATTTGGTTATTTGATAATTAATAAAAATTTTGTACATTTTATCAACTTCAAAAATGTTCAAAAATATACTTGTGGATCAGTATTTTCAATGTAAACGGTACATCTATTCGAGTAGTAAATGTATCTTTTGAAAATTGGATAATATGTATATGTTTTAAAAATAGAACGCGTGTGTTGTGTTGTTATTTATAAAGAAACGATTGAATGTTTTATGGTAATCTCTTTTCAAGGAAATTCGTTCTATACCAAGAACACGAGATTGTAAACAAAACATCGTCTAACGGACACTAGAATATCTCCTCTCATCAGTATAACACGAGCTACGCTTGGAAGAAGATTTACCCGTGTACTCTCTTATAATATAAAAGTAAGTTAAAATTATATTAAAATTTTATCATTATTATTTCTCTCTTATATTTATTTATAAATTAATTTTCATTTCGTATAATGTAATTTAACAATATTTCAACACGTCGATAATCCGATTAACGTAAATAATTTCAATCTAATTACATTTTTCTTTAAAGATTCCTGTCGAGAATATTAAAAAATATATAAATATTTAATAAATAAATTGAAAAGTACGGGGAAAGTTACACGGTTTAAGAACGTTAATACAACGTTCAAAGAACAAGTTACTTTAAGACTTTATAAGTGGCACTTGTAAAATACCAAACCAACTCTCTTTTTCATCTCTTACTTTCTGACGTTTTGTTGAATAAATGTCTCAATGAAAAATATATTCGGGGACTAAACCTCGACTAATATTACTACTACTACTACATAAAAAACGCATACCACGAACAGACTTTTCCATGAAGAAAGCCGAGACTACGCACGAGTGACGTGTCGAGGTGAGAAAATAAACAAAGAAAAGAAGTCGCTTTCTCGAACAACGGTCCCCACTTCGATAGGGGCTTCAGATTTTTGTTTATTTTTCTTCGTCTACGCGCACTCTCCAGGGATCCTTACGAGTGTAGTATCCTGTAGGAACAGAAACGATCGTGAAGTGAATGAGAGAGAGAGAAGGAAAGAGAAAAGGGCTTGTTTGCCGACGTGCCAAGGTCCGGACCACACGCGTTAAGCTTCATTCGCGAATCCCGTGTCGCAAAGTTATTATTTTCTAGGATATTGTGGACGGATCGTATGTTTTTTCAAAAAGAGAGAAAGGAAAAACCTTAGTATCGATCGGTTTCTATTCGACGTGAGAAAGTCATTCTGTATGTTATTTTATCTACTACAAAAATTCAACTCTCTCTCTCTCTCTATTTCTTTCTACGAGTTATTTTTTTAACACATTACTTTTCATATCTTTTCTCTCGTAATTCGTTGAAAATGTATAAATTAAAAATAATGAATCCATTTATATATCAAGTCATATTGCTGTAAACGTTAAAAAAGAGAAAAGTAAGACAATTAATCCTCGTTTTCAAACAGGGAGGCAAGCATAGCACTCACCTTTTTCCTACCGTGTCGTTTCTCTTCATTATATAGCGAACACGAAAAGACGAGTGGTAGACAAGTCAGAATGAGAAGAATAAGAATAATAATAATAAGAAGAAAAGGACGAGATACAGGCCTACCTAGAAGCCAGCAACCAGTAAGAATTCCTGTTTCTCATTCGTAGCAACGTGATTAAGCGGTCAATCTGTGAGCGAAACAATGCTACGTCCCACCCGGCCAATTTATCGAACACCCACGATTTCCCCCCCATGCGGGACGTGAGTGGTGTAAAGATAAGGTACGAGTCAAGGTCACAACCTCTCTCTCTCTCTCTCTCTCTCTCTCTCTTTTTCTTTCTCTTCATTTCTTTATTTCTTATACCCATTTAAGAAATTCGTTTAACAAATTTATTTCAAGCTAGGATCGAAAATTGTTCAAGTTTTTCGATTAGAATCTGACCCCCAGAGCAACACTGTAAACCCTGTGTGCGTTGAACGTTTAATTAGCCAGTATTTGCTGCTCGGTTGAGCATTTAATAACGCTCGATTATCACGGTTCCGTAAGCTCCAACGAATGTGTTCTCGTCGGGATCGATACATGAGATCGAAGATCGTAACTTGAACGATGATGTTACTTTAATCACAACCACGTTAGATATATTATTTACACGTTGCAACATCAGTTTGCGGGAGTGATGCACAGACCGTGCTTTTCTAGCACGTACAACATCCTGCTAACTTTTCTTACCCAGAAGTCACGAATTTTTCTTCCTATCTTTCTCTCTTTCTCTCTCTCTCTCTCTCTGACAAGTTTGTAACCTCGTCAGTTGGTAAACTTGGTGGCGGTTCGTTGGCTCGTAACTTTAGAAAAGTTTATCGCAAAGTATGGATCAGGTATACCTAACTCGCGTTTATCTTCTTTATAACTTAACTAAACTTCGTTCCTCTTTTACTTTATTCCACACGTTGATTTTCTCTACTTCATATAAAATCGATAGTATATTTTTTGTTTTTTCTTTTTACGATTTTCTTTACGATTAGATTATGTTAGATCGAAAGAGCGCGGGTGTTGGTATTTTAAACGTCAACATGAAATTTATTTCGGAATGGTGTTATTTTATTTTTTTTGTGTTCTGTTCAACTAGCTAACGTACAAGCAATGTAAGCTCTTTCTATCTCTCTCTCTCTGTTTTCAAGACGTCTATCCAAAGACACTCTGGGCAGTTTCCAAGTTTCCTAGTTACCGGTTACCTTCTTACTTCCTTATTTCACCTCGAGCCGTTCCATTCTTTTCTTCTTCGTTCTCGCGAGTCCTCTCCACCAGTTTACCCAAGAAACACCCGCCGAAGACTCGAACACCAGCGAGAGTTTCATTTCATTACTCTTCACGGTTGGTTCTTACTTTGAGACTTATCTTCTTTTACTTTTCTTCTTCTTCTTATTCTTTTACTCGTATCTCGAACTTTAGGGGAGAGTCTAAACTTCTTTCTTCGACGGCCATTCTCTTTGTCTATCGCAAGAAAGAGAAAGAGAAAGAGAAAGAGAGAAAGAGAAAGGGGATAACAAGTTTGAAATTAACGGACCCCAACTTTTCAACGTAATCTCTTATATATACTCTCTTTTATTTCACCCTCTTTCCACCCCTCTCCTTTGTTTTTCTATTCGATGCATCCAATCACTGTATTACATTATACACACTTTTATTATATCGGAAAATATTAGTCTCGATCGACATTTAACTATTTACTAGCAGTCAATCGTTGCTTTAAACTACGATGTGCACTTTGTATGATCGAATATATCTTTTCCGTGTTTAAAGTGACCAAGAGGAATAGAGTGACTGAGAGAGTAAGAGAGAAAGAGAAAGAGAGAGAAAGAGAGAGGAAGAGAGATGGCAAACGATGTTAACGCACCGTGACACTGTTCCGGCTCGTCACGCGCACCGATGCTATTGGTTCTGCCTCGTCGAATAAGCGGCTGTTCCGCTTGTTGAATATTGTCGTATAGTACGATTGTAAAGAAAAGAAGACAAAAAAAAAATTAAAAAGAAAAAAATAAGAATAAGAAAAAAGAAAAAGAAAAAAGATACTTCGTGTTGTGTCGTATCGTCGTCTCTAACTTTATAGACAATTTTTATCAAACAAATAAATACCGTATAGACAATAGAAAATACAAAATAATCAAAGTAATAATAATAACAATAAAAAGAAGAAGAGGGTCTTCGAAATTCGGGTTCATCGATAGATCGATTTCTCTCGTTTCTAATGTGTCACGTATTCGATTGCGAAAAACAAGCTAAACTCACGTACAAGTTTTATCAAAGAAAAACCGAAACCTCGAGTATCTATTATCGACTGGAAGGGGGTGGGGGTGGGTGCATTAGGGAAAAAATTCGACGACGTTTAACGTATTATTCGAGAGATAATCGAGGGAACTAAACTTTTTCCATTTTCAAATCGATTCCGACGTTTTTTTTTTCTTTTTTTTTGATAAGGGTACGATAGTTATCTTTTCTTGTGCCGAATAACGATTATCGAGAACTACTACTACTACTACGCGGTCCAGATAGGAAAAGGAAATCAACAAAAAAATTTCTTTTCGGCTTTCGACCCCCGCCCCCTTCCCACCCCCTTTATCTATCCCTTCTATTCTCTTTTTTTTCTGTGTGTTTTTTCCTCATTGATTCCCCCCCGTCCATTCTATCCCTCTCTCCAACCTTCTCCCTCCCCCAGCCCCCAAACCCCCCTCGTGTTCTCGCACCTCTCTTTCTGTAGCAGCTCGTGGAAGCGTTACGTGGAATCGAGATCCAATTACTCGATTCACGACCGGCTCTCCGAGGAGATATCTTTTTGCAAGATCCTCCCCGGGGTTTATCTTCGGTAGTCGATGATTCTCTTTTCTTTTTTTTTCTTTTTCACGCGCGCACATTTTGCATTACGAGTAGTAGTTCGAAAAATTCGAGTTACGATTTTTAAGAGAGAGAGAGAAAAAAGAAAAAGAAAATTATTGTATACGAGGTTGTAATTTAGATATTTTGATATAATATGTGTAGTATGATAGGTACGTACGTGCCGATAAATTGCGAGATATTTTGGATTAAATATTACAAAATATTTATATAACGATTAAATATTTGTCTTCTTCTTTTTCTTCTTTCTCTTTTAATTAGGATTTTTTGTCCTGTTATAATAGATTTTCTTATTGCTATTTCTATTGTTTTTACCGAGGGTAGGTTGTTAATCTCACCCTTTTTATCTGGGATAAAAAAATATAAATTTTTGTAATATGAATTATTGTTATATTATATCGGATAAATGGATAGTTTAATATTAAATTGTACCTATTGTTTTTTTGTAGCAACCGTATATTATAATATTTGTAATAATAATTAATCGTTCAGGAACGTTCGTTCGAATTGTTAAATAATATTTCAACGCTGTGTTATATTATATATAGCGTACAGGTAAAATTATTAAATTGATCGTAAACATTGTTTGGATTTATATCATATTTTTGAACGGTATACATAAATCGTTCTTAAAATTGGATACACAAACTTTCGTAAACAATCCAATACTCAATACCCATTAATTAACTCGTTCAGAAAATTCGTTCGTGTCGAATTTAAAAATAATAAAAAAAAAATAAAAAAAGAGAATAAAAAGAAATAAATAAATTAATCCCATAGATTACAAATATAAATCAAACAACATATAAATTGTAAATCGTTACGAACTTTGTTTTTATGAAACACACAAACCCCCAACCCCCTCCCCATACATCAATATAATCGTATAACGTATTAAAATAACATAACGAAAAAAAAGAAATGATAATTTTCATCGGTCGCACGTTATCTCGAAATTAGATAAAAATAAAATCGTAAAAAGATAATCTCGAGAATAGAATCACAACCGGTGAGTTA